TCCTCACAACAAAATTTATAATATGCACATAATATTTTCAAGCAAATATCTGTTTAAACTGCGAAAGATTGGTTAACGTTGGACTAAAGACTATATACTTCTTGTGCTGTTCTCTACATGTATTCGTGTCTGCCCCAGTTCGGTTTCTCTCTTTGTTGTAAACTTAATAGAATAAATTATACAAATAATCGATCGTTGGAATTTAACTTTGTATGTTATATGAGTCAGACGTGCTGTAATAATATTGATACAGTTGAAAGTTTTATAAACCTTTGTTTTATATTGTAAATTGCCCGCATGATTTTTGCCTCTTCCGGAAATAAAATATTCTGAATTAATCGGCAAGGTGAATCTCTGATTTTTATTATGATTTTCTACCATACATAACGCTGTTTACAACAGCCAATAGAATGTTTTTAATTACTACTAAACTTGTGCAACAGCAGCCTTTTCTAACTGCTAAAATAGGCGTAAAATGAGACAAATCCTATAAATACCTCTTGTCACGGAGCTGAAACGCCCCCAGTATAATGACACAAATCGTTCTAAACGTCGATTTGACACGGTGGGATACGAGCGAAGAAATGATGATTAGTACCAGTTCTAATGCATACGATGAGGGTCTAAACGTATCATTATCATCAGTCAGCTACTCGGAACAAAATTTTCAGGAACAGCCAAACTCTATCAGTAGTGTTGACATTATAGAAAGCACGATATATTCAGGATTAAGTTCGCGTCCGTTTGGTACAATAGAAAAAATTTTGAAAAAGTCCGAAGCCAATGATAATACTGTTTTACACGATAAAATCGAGATGCCAAGAGAAATTGTTATTCTTCGAAAAATTCCACCGCATCCTAATATTATAAACCTCCTTTATTGGATGAAAATCAGGCCAGACGAATGGGTCATTATGTACGAATATTATGGATTAAATTTAAGAGATTATCTGAACTATGTCGCAAGTCGCAGAGGAACTAACGGATTAAGAGAAGATGAATCGCAAACAATAGTACGCCAGCTGTTACTCGCATGTAAACATTTAGAAGACTATGGAATCTACCATCGCAATTTAAAACTCGAAAATATAGTCATCGGAACCGACGGCAGTATTAAATTAATCGACTTTGATTTGGCAATCGAGGTGAAGGAAAACGAACAACACATCGAGAAAATTGGATCAGGTAAGAATTTGAATTTAATTGATGTAAACGCGGAACGGGGAAACGCGCACGTACGTTCCACTTATACTGTTGTGTTTCTTGAACTAGTTGTTCCACCCGAAATGTATGGCCACATTACGTATAAACAATCGACTGCGCAAATATGGGTATTAGGAACTATCTTATACCAACTCTTCGAACGAATCGAACCTTATCGGAAAGAACGAGTAAGTTGCAACGCCTTGGGACTGGTCATGTTTAGCAAATATAATCGTCCCTCAGAAGAATGTGTAGAGTTGATGGAATGGATGTTGGCTGCTGATCCAGACAGAAGGCCGCAGTGCATCGACGATGTTCTGGCTCACCGGTGGATTAATTAGGATATGAGTCGAATACTGATACGTTTTTATATGAATTATGATACTATAGCATCTTAATTATGTTTATGTTGAGACCCATTCTGGGATTTTAACCTTCTGAGAATGGGTCAACCCGTTTCGTTGTTGTCACATATTTTTTCGATGCTTATTGCATAAATTATGTACTTTATTGGGTAAAGAGTTTATATCGATATATGAAATACTTTTTTTAAGATTAATAAGATTAACGTTAAGGCTTGTCTCATATGAAAAATTAAAAACTAAGAAATCTAGTTCCACAAGCTGAAATTGGCAAAATGCAACTAATTATAATCGTACACACCTGCTACAAAATTGCTTTATACTAAACACGAACGACAACATTTAGATTCAAAGACATGTCTCATAGTGATAAAAGAGATTTTAATGAAACAATTGATAGCGACGAAGAGCAAATTTCGAAGAAGAGGAAAATTAAACCACAATCCGAGTCAAGCGACCTGTACTTGGATACAGTAAGTATATTTCTTCAAAGTTCTTGTCCATGTACCAGTACTTATGTTTCATTCGCTCGACACAGATCAATCGACACATGTTGGATTTCGATTTCGAAAAAGTCTGTTCCGTCAGCTTATCAAACCTGAATGTGTATGCGTGTTTGGTCTGTGGGAAATATTTTCAAGGTAAAAAAACTGTTAGATTTGCAGAGATCTTAAGAATGCGTACGTATTCATGTCTTCTTTTCATAATCACGTTTAGGCCGTGGGCGTTCTTCCCATGCTTATTTTCATAGTATTCATGAAGATCACCATGTGTTCATTAATCTACATACATTGAAAGTAGGATGACAAGGTATCTCCATTCCGTCTCACACAATACACAAGAACTTTAGGCTCATGTTGAACGGATATTGTCATTAGGTTTATGTATTGCCAGATGGGTATGAGGTAAAGGATTCGACTCTGGATGATATCAAGGTAGGGAAATCGCTAGAGCAAGTAATTTTTATACCCGAGCGAACAACGGAAATGTTGATGATTTGGAATTTATTACTTATCATTGTTTCGCGTCTTTTCTTTTACTTAGTATGTACTCCATCCGACTTTTACAAGAGAACAAGTAGCCCAATTGGATCAGAATCTGAAACCGTCTTATGATTTAAATAATAAAAAATATCTACCAGGTAAATGGAAAATGGAAAATTGGTATATTTCTATGATCCGACCGTCGGTTTTATTCAACATTGCGTTATTATAGGTTTCGTTGGGTTGAACAATGTGAAAGCAAATGATTACGTGAATGTAATTATACAAGCATTGGCGCATATTCCTCCATTGAGGGATTACTTCATACTGCAGAACTTTGAGAACAGATCGCAATTAGGTAAGAATTCTACGGACTTGGCATTGAGCATTAAAACTCCATCATGTTTCTCTCTCACTGCATCTATCGTATATAGTCCAGCGTTTCAGCATATTAGTACGCAAAATTTGGAATCCAAAGGCGTTTAAAGGACAAGTCAGTCCTCATGAGCTGCTGCAAGAGATTTCCAACGCGTCAAACAAGCGGTTCAAGCTTTCTGAACAGAGCGATCCGCTAGAATTTTTATCGTGGTTCTTGAACGCGCTACATAGAGACTTGGGGGGAAATCGGAAGGAAGAAAGCAGTGAGTATTGTTGATGTTAATGCGTATATACAAAACTTTCTTCACTAGGAATAACGGATATCGTAGACTCAAATACATGATTCTGCTTTATCGATTGTCATTTGACAGGTATCATATATAAGATATTTCAGGGAGAAGTCAAAGTCGAGAAGCAAAGTGTAATCGTAAAAGAAGATGCTGACGAGAAGGATCGGTTGACATTTGATCTTGATAGAGGTCTGTATAGGGTGGCTTTGTACAGAACGCTTGGAACATTTGGGAACGCACAATAGGACTACGCTTGCAGCAAATGCCCCAAAGGCAAACGAATTCTCACTGTACGTTTTTCTTGCAGAGATCGTAACCACGACATCGCCCTTTTTGTTTTTGACGCTGGACTTGCCTCCACCGCCACTATTTCAAGATGAAATCGAAAAAAATATTATCCCACAGGTAATTCACCAAGACATGTATTTGGCATTCTGCAATCTTGTCGACTGTCATGTTATATAATTCATATTGTTACATCAAACAGGTTCCACTGACTGCCATATTATCAAAATACGATGGGAACACATCCCAAGTAAGAACGGCAGGGACGGTCTCTGACGCGAAAATAAAAATGTCAGTTGACTAATCGTTAATCATTTAATTTTAGGAATCAGCGGGAATGCTTCGTCGTTTCCAATTGACAAGATTGCCAAATTATATTATATTCCATATCAAGCGGTTCACCAAGAACAACTGGTCATCGGAGAAGAACCCTACAATAGTCAACTTCCCTATTAAGAACATTGACATGCGTGAATGTATGCAATACATGAATTTATGGCAATTGGTTACGCTGTTTATTATGCCCTTTACTTTCGCCTTTAACTTTGCCAACCATTTTTTTCTGCTTATAAAGATTTATGGACAGACAACTCGGATACCTCTCAAAACCTTTCGACTCACTTTGACTTGATCGCAAATATTTCACACGAGGGGAAGCCAGGAAAGGGTAACGGCATATATAAAGTCCATGTACAGAATAGAGGGAAAGAACAATGGTACCAAATACAGGATCTGATAGTCGAAGAGATAAATGCACAGATGATATTCTTGAGCGAGAGTTATATCCAGGTAAATAAAGAGGACGAACGGACGAGTTATCTGGATATTTCCTTTTTCTTGATTGATGGTTAACTATTTTTCTTTTCGCATAGATTTGGGAGAGAAAACTCGAGACTTGAATCATGTGACAATTTTGTCTCGACATGTATAGTTGGACTCTTTTTTTTTTTTTTTTTTTTAAGAATAAAAGTTCAAATATCATTACTGCGTCCATTATCAGCGTGCTGAGATGGCTTACCGATCTTCCTTCTTACGAATTCAGCTATGTTTCTTCTTGCACATTAAAGTCGTAATCCTCGTCCAACTCGACGACCACTGGCGCATATTCTCCTTCGTCTTCATCTTCGTCTTGACTTTCCCTGACCCAAGTCCAGTTGAATTTCTTGTCAAGGAATGCACGGAAGCTTTCGAACCGTCGTTTCAGCGTGTGCAATTTTTGCGGGGTTGCAGAAGTCGAATAGACCAAATCAATGTTTCGTGATAATGCCTGGAAATGATACGAAATAGAGAATTACAATCAGCATTGTATATACAAGGGTTGGCGGGATATTTTGCCAGCAATGCGTGAAAATACTATTGACCAGAGATACCTTTAGCGCATGCAGGAGAAAACTTTTGTCCATTTCGATCTCGTAAAAGAAATCCATCTGACATTCTTCCAACTGATATGACAAGACATCTGAAAAGCTAAAAGCGTTAATAAGCGTATGCCAGGTCCCAACAGAAGCTTGCAATGTATTGCTTGTCGCGCATCATGCTAACTAACCTAAAAACCGTGTAAAAAGAGTATCTGTACACTGTTCCAGCGCTTCCTGACACGAACATACCAGCTGGATCAACGACCTCCATTGCGTCAATCCAGCAAAATTTCCGGCTATCAATAAACATACAAAAGCCAACTGCAATTCACCAAGTAACTCTTTTGGATCTGATTGTGAGTTGGAAGAAAAACCCTCAGTATCAAGGGAAATCTTGGATAAAACCCAATACGCAATTGATAATGCCGCCGTTCTATCTCAAGGCTCACCTTGGTTATACACCCTTTCCAATAAATCACGTAATAACCAGCTTTTATCCTGCGCATATCTTGTAACTTCCGGACCGGTTGCACCTTGTCTCCAACTTTTTTTAAGATCAAATTTGGTGAATTCTATCCTAGTTTCTTGTGTATCGTTTGTTGGCATCTTGGTAACGTCGTTCTGCGTACTCTGCATTGCCCCAGAGTCTTCTGCGATCGCTTCTCCTTCCGACTCTACAGTCTTTTCGTGTTTACCCAGGTGTGCAATCTCCTCTTCGTCGATACTAGAATCCGATATATTACTTATCTTGCCTTGATGTGGAAGCACCCGAGAGATGAGGGGACGGCTGATAAAGTCGGTGAGATGAACCCATTTCCGCCACGTAGTTGGTGGAGACAAAGGGTACGCTCCGAGGTATGGGTCTAGTCGACGCATGTCTATATTATTGGGAGAAAGGCGAAAAGCGGAGTAATTAAGCGAGATTGAATGGAAATTCAATCTTATTTATTGAAGATTAGAATGTTAACGGTGGGGCGACCAAGAAAATTATCAAAAAAAAAAAAAAGGCCTAAAATAAATCACTGATCCCATTATCTCTGTTTTCTTGTTACCTGAACTAATTCGTTCTCTTTGATCTTCTTCAATTTCAAAATCATTCTTGACATCTTCTCTAGTCGAGTCCCATTCTTTTATTACAATCTGCAAGCGATAGTGATAAGTATCCAAAATTTAGTTAATTCGCAATGCAATAATGATATAAAAACTCAATATGAAGTACCAATTTACCTCTCTTTCTTCATAAAACTTGAAAAACCCGTTGCGCAAACCAGCACCCGAATTTGCCGAGGCACTGAATTATAGCCATTAGTTTAACGTATGAAAGAATGAGGAATGGTTAATAATTAGCTTCTATTGTTCTTACGTACCTGTAGTGCACGTAATGTAATCCCGGAGGTATCAACTTGACTCCCATAAACTTGGGTCCAGTCCGCCATGAATTGCAATCGATCCCGAACTTTTATTGGTGAAAAGTGTAATTAACCATTCACAATGCGATATAGCTGTATAATGGGTAGCAGTTAAACCAACCTCCATTTCTTCTGGAGCGTTCAAGAATACTAGAAATGCTCCCTTGTCAAAGAGTGCTTGAGCAGTTTCTGGATCCATAACTGCTTTCGATTCACTTTTTCCGCCATTATAAAACATGTATTAAATAACGTGATGTTGTCGATCTCAATGAACTTTTAAGGATGTTTGAGCTGCAACTCTAAAACCTTAAACGGAAAGAGCGCAACAAGTGATCTTCCAATATTATTTATACTGGTCGAAAAGCCTCACTGTTATGACATGAAACCGAAACTTGCAAGTTGACGTCGGATATTTTAAGTCAATTACAGCTTTGCATAATTAAATGATTTTTTCGATAAACGGGGTTTAATAAAACGTTGTTTAATTTGTTGAGTGCATTCGTTTATGTGTAAACCCCTGTAATAATATAGTGAATGAGTCTCATTCACTGGTAATGTTGATCCCATAATTGATAAGTACTCGATATATTCGATAATCTATTATATTCCAAGAACGAACCGGTCGTTTCACAAGAGATTTTTTAGTTGTTACAGACCATTCTTATAAAAATAGCACAAACTTGATAAATAACAATAAGATTCATGAAAGAACAATTATTTATAAGTTCGAATTACGATTGAAACAGCGAACAATTTAGATTTCGACCGATCGGAATTTAGTGATTCAATCTCGTTAATAGTAAACATGCTTTCCACTTACAATACTTTAGAATAATATATAGTTTTATTTATATGCAGACTTT